AAATCCCCAAATTGGGCTTGTTCCTTTATATCAGAAATTTCAAGTTCTTATCTGTGGCTTCCTGTTGAATAGCTGTGTGGTTTGAAGAAACTACTCTTTTTATGTCTTTACCTATAAAACTGGGATACTGCCATCTAGCTTCTCCTAAAAGACAATGATAGTCAAAATAACAGAATGGAAAAATTAGTGACATATGTAACCTGCCTCATAAAAGCGGTATGGTTTTATTTCAAAGAAATAACAGTAGGCTATATAAAATTAATTGTAACATTTCCTCAAGGAGTTTAAAATCTGACTTTAAGAAATGAGGAGGGAGATATGTGCTTCCTGCATAGGCTATTGAAATCTGGAAAAACTGACAAATCTGTATAGAAAATGTATCAAGATTCTGTAATTGAGAAGCCCCTCCCCTCCTTCCCTACCACCCCCTCCCAACTAAAACCATACCTATCACATACCCTTTCTGCTCCCCTGGATGGTGAGGCCTTCCATGAGGTGTCATCAGAGTCTTTCGTATCCTTTGGGATAGGGCCTAGGCCCACCCCCGTGTGTCTTGGCTCAGGGAGTATTCCTCTTTGTGGAATAGGCTTGCAAAGTCCACACCTGTGCTAGGGATAAGTACTGAACTATATATAGGAGGTCCCATAGATTTCTGAGGTTTCCTCACTGAAACCCATGTTCCTGGGTTGTGGATCAGTCCCATGCTGGTATCCCAGCTATCAGTCTGGGGAACAAGAGCTCCCTGATGTTCAGGTCAGCTGTTTCTGTGGGTTTCACCAGCCTGGTCTGGACCCTTTTGCTCTTCACTCCTCCTCTGCATCTGGATTCCAATTCAGGTCAGTGATTAGTTGTGGGTATCTGCTTCTACTTCTACCAGCTGCTGGATGAGGGCTATCGGGTGGCATATAAGTCAGTCATTAATCTCATTATCAGGGGAGGGCATTTAAGGTAGCCTCTCCTCTGTTGCTTAGATTGTTAGTTGGTGTCATCTTTGTAGATCTCCAGACATTTCCCTAGTGCCCGATTTCTCTGTAAACCTAAAATATCTCCCTCTATTATGGTATCACCATTCTTGTTATCTTCTATTCTTCTTCTGACTCAACCTTTCTGCTCCCTCATGTCCTCTGCACCTCTCCTCTTCTCCCCTTCTCAATCTCCTAGCTCCCTCCCCCCTCTTTCCATGCTCCCAATTTGCTCAGGCAATATTGTCCCTTTCCCCTTCTTCGGGGGACCATGTATGTCTCACTTAGGATCTCCCTTGTTTACTAGCTTATCTGGTGGATTGTAGGCTGGTAATCCTTTACTCTATGTCTAAAATCCTCATATGAGTGAGTACATATCATGTTTGTCTTTTTGTGATTGGGTTACCT